TTGAACATGGACGGGGTAAGGATACCGACCGCCTCTCCCATAGACCCATGGCCCATCTCAGTCTTTATGGTACCGTCTTGGGAGATTCCACCGATATCCCAGGGGAATGTTAGTTTCAGGGTTCTATACAGGGAGGGATGAACTAAAACGGGGACCCTCCCTGCACAAAGATTTGACAGCTGCTTCAATTGTTGGTTCTGTACAATGGTGATTGGCAATGCCATTTTGTAAGACATAATGGCCTCATCTAACATTGTCCAAATCTGCTTGGCGTCAGGTCCCGTCCGTATAAGGGTTAGGACCCTTTGGGCGTGCGGGAAATTCTGGGGAACTTCCACATCCAAATCGGCATATTGCCTAATGGATAGAAGGTATTTTAGGTCTTTTATTCTATTCCCATAGTCACGGGCTCTCTCTGCCTGAGCTGTAGAAATTTTACAGACATCTTCACCCGTGTTGAAAATATGTTTTTTTTTTCTTCTTTTCATTTTGCGCTTGAGTGGGGCTTCTCTCCGGTTTGGAAGCGGGAGGAGTTTTTGTGACGGGGGAAGGACTGGGAGTATGAAGTGGGGTATAGGATGATCTTTTTTTAACAGGGGAAGGGCTGGGAGTGTGAAGGGGGGGGTGTAAAAAGATCTATGTTTATAGGGATTGGGATCTCTACTGAGAGGACGGGATTTTGACGGTGTAGATGGAGGGGAAGGGTTGTTTTTGGGAGAAGGTGCGGACGGGCAGAGGATTTCTTTTTAAGCTCTTTTATCTTTTCAGCTTTTTCGTATCCTGGGTCATATTTTTTCTGTTTTTCCTTGAATTCTAGTTGAGAGGTCGGAGCATCGCCCTTAATGTTGTCAGAGGGATTGGGGCTGTACGTGCCTTTAGTCCTTGGGGCTTCAGGGGACTGAAGGCTCTTTGGGGAAAGTGGTCTTTGATGGTATACCAACCGGAGGATTAACCGACCCGGTCCCGGAAGCTGGTACGCCCATTACAGGCGAGGCGGAAATTAGAGACGCGGTCAGAAGGGGATTTTGGTTAACAGGAGCTTGACTACCAGAGGCCTTCTTCTCTGGGCAGGAGGAGGAAAGGTAACCAGTCTCTCCACACCTCCAGCATACCGGTCTTCAGCCAGTTACAATGACCGGTAATTTCAAGCTCCCGACATCCAGACAGTTGGAGATGGAGCGGAAGGCTTTCTCATCCAACATAATATCGAAGCTCCACCCCACCCCGTTCAGGTTATTACAGGAGGCGCCCAGAATTTCGCCATACGGGTGCATGAAAGCGGAGGGACCTCATATACTGTCACTCTGGTCCTTCTGCGGCCTTCATACTCCGTTCTAAGGATTAATTCTTTAGTGATGAGCTCACAGCTCGCCGCGGCTACGCAGTCTCCTGGCGTGGGTAGCAGTACGTCCCACATGAAAAATTTGGCTCCCATAACAATTCTAAGGGGCTTAACCCCCAGAGACTCTAGTGTCTTCAACACTATGTTTTTTGTCGAGCGACAAATTTTGCGCGAACGCTTATCGACGACGAAAACTGACACAATTCTTTTTTCAATCTTCTTCAATTCTTGGGGGTCTTCCAAGAGTCCACCTTTCACGACAAGGTGAGGGTAACTGTTAGCATGCTCCAAGAAATCCGCTAGATTGATAATGCATTTCAGTGTGGACGACCAACAAGAGGGCGATTCCCCGGCCTGTCTTTTCTTGAGAGCCATTTTTGGCTATCATGTCAATCTGGGTTTTTTGGCCATTATTGGCCTCCGTAGTTTTTTCACTTTTTTTAATGCCATTATTGGCCTCCATACTTGTAGTCGGTAAATTTTCCTTTTTCCCAGCGATGTCATCATCGCTAGGGGAACTTGGTTCTAGGGCTTGGTAATCATTGAGATTGTCTTTATCCGGTGGGTCTTTCTTTGGGTGGGGGGGTAAATAAATCTTTTCTTATAGACTTTCTGTAGTCTGATAAATTGGTTTTTTTTTTTTTTTAATAGCTAAAAAAAAGTAGGTGCTTTTTTTCCCTTCTTTTCCATATTTTTTTTTATATTAAAGGGGAAGGGGAGGGGGAAAAGGGGTGGGGAATAATAAAATAAAAAAATAACACACAAAAAACACAAAGCTCACCCGAAAGCGAGACAAATAAGCAAATAAAAAACACGTACAATAAATATTATACAAAGAATTAAAAGTTCGCCTAACGGTGAAACAAAAAAAAAGGGAAAAAACTCCAAAAGAAAAACGAAAAAAACGCTAGACAAAAAAGAAAAACAAAGAAAATACGAAAGTCTCAAAACTAGGTAGAGCTAGTTACAATTTACAAAATGGCCGACACCAAACAAATAAACAAAAGAAAATTATACAATACACATGGACAAATATATGGACAAATAGACAGCAAATAAAGGTTAGAAAAATTAATTAGACAAATATACAATACAAAAAAGGAAAAGAAAAAACACGGAAAACTTAAAAGATATTAAAAAGGAAAGAATAAAAGAATTATTAACGGTAAGTCAAAACAAAAATGAAACACAGACAGAGGTTACAAAAGAAAAGAAAACGGAGATATAATTAAAAGAGAAAATGAAAAAACAAAAAGGAAATCTAGAATAAAAGGAATAAAAAAATTAAAGTAGATAAAAATTAAAAAAAGAGGAGGGTAAAAAAGGAAAAGAAAAAATCAAAATCTTTTCAAAAAAATACCTAAGAACACAAAAAGACAGTAATAAAAAACAAACTTAACAAAAATGACGTTCAATACGCAAGGGACAATATCAAAAGCGCAGACGGGCGTCAAAATAGCAGTCAACCAAGGTCTAGCTAAAACTCGTACTACACAGAATTGAACTGCTACTACCGTTGGCTAACAGCGAAAGAGTTTATATAGGTATGAATAGGATCAAGTGAGCTTGGCGCCAAAAAAATATAGAAAGATACTAAAATACGCGATTGGTCAGGAAATGGACCAATCCGTGATTTTAGAGAAAAATTCAAATAATGTGCGATAGCAAAATTGTCATATAGTAAGTATCATATATTTATGAATCAATGACATTAAAGAAAGCGGAGGTGTGGCACATGTAAGTGATCACCACAATACCCCCTCAAGATTGAAAAGTCAAGGAAGAAAGAGTTTTCAATATGTAATGAAAATTCTGAGCTTCTTAGGCCAGTGGACGATACGTCCGCTAGCAGTCCTAGTAGGTGCTGGTGACGAAAGCTGAGGGCTGTCTAGCGAAGGGCTCGTAGGTTGATTGATTGATTCATCGCGTTCAATACATGCAGCTTTTAGGCGATCGATAGAGAAGGTCGATCGGCCGTGGTTAGTCTGTAGAGTATAGTATTTATCGGTCCGGGTAAGGACACGAAATGGACCTGCATAATGTGGTGTGAGTGGCTTTCTAACAGAATCCTGCCGTACAAAAGCGTTCTCGCGTTCCAGTAAGGAAGGAGGCACATAAAAGTCACGTGAAGTGTAACGGGTTGGAGTAAAAGCAAGAGAAGACATTTTTTTCGAAAATAGGTGATAAAACTGGATGAAGGTTCTTGTGTAGATGTTACGGAGAAAAATTGTCCTGGTAGTACCAGCTGCTGTCCGAAAACTAGATCAGCAGGCGAGCATTTCAGATCTTCTTTAACTTGTGTGCGAAGTGAAAGTAAGACAAAAGGTAAGTTGTCTATCCAAGAAAATTGGTTAGTAGTGCCGATGCTGGTCAAAGCAGCCTTAAGTTGGCTGTGGAACCGCTCAACTAGGCCATTGGGTGGTAAGCAGTTGTTGATATATGGCGAGCTCCAAGTAAGTAAATTCCGTGAATAGCTGAGATTGGAACTGTGGTTCCCGATCAGTGGTAATGATCGAGGGGCATCCGTAAATGGAAATCCAATGTTGAAATATGGCTCGAGCCACGGATTCAGCGGTAGTGCTGTTGAGTGGAACGGCAACCGGCCATCTCGTAAATCTATCTATAATTGTCAAAATGTATTGACATCCCCGAATCTCTGATATGGGACCCACTAGGTCCGCATGTAGATGTCGGAAACGACCATCAGGGGCAGCAAAACGACCAGCTGGTGACTTAGTGTGTCTTGTTGACAAACAACACAAGATTGAGTATAGCGAGTAATGTCTTTACGCATCTTAGGCCAGACGAAACGGTCTGCAATTAACCTAAGTGTGGCTTTACGACTAGGGTGGGACAACGAATGAAAGGGGTCGAACATTCGTCGTCGCATGTTGGTTGGGACGACGGGTCGAGGATTACGTAGACTGGTGTCGCATGCGATAAGCTTATCAGTAAAGGGCAAGGGATGATGCTCAATATGTAGTGACGAATTTCGAAGTGAGTCGAGCAAAGTTATCTCCCGTACTTGTTCATCCGCGATATTTTCCATGTCCAAAGTATCTTGCAGGCTTCCGCACAAGGATGCTCTGGAAAGTGTATCGGCAGCAATGTTATCCTTTCCCTTAATGTGACGTATATCTGATGTAAACTGGGATATATAATCAAGATAGCTGTAGTCCCGAGGATTGTACTTGTCTGATTGAGTTGAAAGGGCAAAAGTGAGGGGCTTGTGATCTGTGTAGATCACAAAGTGTCTACCCTCTAAAAGGTGTTTGAAATACTTAATTGACAAGTATATAGCTAAAAGTTCCTTTGGAAAGGTACTATACTTCTGTGTGGACGTCAAAATTGGCAAAGATTTAGCGTCAACATGTTGGTGTAAAACTGCGCCTATGGCGTCAGAAGATACGTCAGTCGTTAATGATAGCTGAGTGGTAACACCGTCAGTGAGGCATGAAAGTTTCGTAAAGTTGACTAATGCTTTACGAGAGTTGTCAAATGCTTGCGTTGTGTCGTTGTTCCAACAAATAGGAGTATTTTTACGGTCTTGCCCGCGAAGGATATTCGTCAGGGGTGCAAGAATTTGTGAACAACGTGGGATGAATTGACGATAATAATTGATTAAGCCAATGTATCTGCGAAGCTGTCCACGAAGTACCTAATCTATAAGGCGTTGGAATGATTGAGCTGCGTTGCGCAGTCCAAAAGGCATACGCAGAAACTCGAATAAACCAAACGGCGTGGTAATCGCAGTTTTGGGAATATCTTCGTCAGCGACTGGGATCTGGTGAAAGGCTTTGCGCAGATCCAGTTTGGTGAAGACAGATGCTCCCTGTAAGGTAACAGCAAAGTCGGTCAAATTGGGAACTGGGTACTTATCGGGTACCTTTTGTGAATTAAGACGTCTATAGTCGCCACACGGCCTCCAGGCGCCCTGCTGGGCCTTAGTGACCATGTGAAGCGGTGAGGCATATGGATTCGAGGAGGGGCGAATAATTCCTAGGTCGAGCATGTGTTGGAACTCGGCCCGGGCAATCTTGTATTTGTCCGGCGCAAGACGGCGAAGTTTAGAATAGACAGGCTGTTCGGTAGTTCGAATCCTGTGTACAGTGCTGTGCTTGGCAGGCTCTGTATAGGTAAAAGGCTGTATCAACGAGGGAAATTTATCCAGAATATCTTGAACTGAATTATCACGCGGCACAGCGATGCGTAATTCCGTAGATGTTAGCTGTGATATAATTCCGCGGTTAGATAGCTTCGTGGTGGAGTCAGATAACTGACGCCGTGAGAGGTCCACGATGAGTTGATAATGTGCCAAAAAGTCGGCGCCTAAAATGGGGAATTTCACGTCTGCAACGGTGAATATCCATTGGTATGTTCTTCTAAGTCCAATATCCAGTGTTAACGATTGTTCGCCAAAAGTCTTGATGTTCGTGCCGTTAGCGGCGCGTAAGGTGACTGAAGTGAAGTTGGGTGATGGTGGAACAACACTAAGCTGTGCTCCTGTATCTATCAGGAATGACATGTTAGAGTTCCTGTCTTTTATGTGTCCCAACAGCAGATGCCGCCTTCAAGCGCTGCTGGGACCGGCGTTTTCCGCCTTCCGTGATGCCTTGGATAAAAGCTGGCACTTGAAGGTACAAGGCTTAACGCATCTGTGGGCTCTATCACCATAGTTAAGATGGTACCAGCGTAGCATGGGTCGGCGAGCGCGAGTAGCAGAATGAGAGCGTCGCCGTATCTTGTATGAGTTTTTATCCTCTGCTCTGGTAAGGTGCTGTACTTGAGTGGAAAGCCTCTCGAGTTGCTGTTTCAGCTGTTCTATTACATCCATAATAGCAGCATCAGTGGGTACAGGGGAGTCCACGCTGCTGATAGTGGATACGTCGTTAATTTTGTCAGCGATCTCAGCAGTCCTCGAGAGATCCAAGTCATCGAGTAGCGTAGCCAGAATCTGTGATGTGTATGGCGGTAGCTTATCCAGCCAAAGCTTGCGGAATTGAGTTCTTCCCTAATAGATTCTTCATACGTCTAAGCAACTGCGACGGCCGGCTATTTCCGAGCTATTTCATGAGCGCAGGTTGCACGATCTATTTAATACTAATTAAATAGATCGTGCAACCTGCGCTCATGCGATTTCCTAGTACGGTAGATGATGGCTTCCTTTAGTATATCAAAGGGGTTATGAGCGGGAACGGCTTCCAAAGGTCCAGCACGTTAGCAGCGATCTCTGGTGGCAGCTTCTCGACAATGTACGCGTAACGCGCAGTCTGAGAGTGAATGTGCTTTGATTGGAATATAGCTTCGGTCTGGGCGAACCACACGTTTATATTAGTCATGTCAAAAGTTGGGAGGGTCAGCACGACGGCTGTCTCTTGTGCAGACAGTTCAGCCATTACGAATAAACACGTGGTGTACTGCTGTTTCGGCGCGAAGTAGTATCTCTCAGTAAATTGGATCGGTGAGTCGTCCAAATGTGGTTGGTTCCGAGACGTCGTAGTTACCAATGCTGTGCAGAAATTAGTTCGTACGTTCGGTTTCACCAGATGTAGGGTATGTCCAAATATATTCCGAACGAGGGAACGTCGTGGTTATGAAATGTGGAACGGAAAGTAGTTCCTACGTCGGGGTTACCAATTGTAGTGGTTTTGTAAGATATGTTGGCCAGGGTTACCGTGAAATATAATAGCAACCAAGAAGGAAAGCTCTGTTCTTATAAACAACCCCACACGAAATATGCACAGAATATATGAGAGAAATAAATCAAGCTCAATGAACATTGTGGAATCGTGCATAGATTCCATCCTTTTGCGCGCGCGCGTTTTGCACCCCTTCCTTCCACATGCGACTAGACATAGCAGTAAGCCATCCTTTTGTTGCCGTCAACCTTACTAGCTGATCCTGATATCATTTGAACTGGAATTTGAAATCTTCCCGCGCAATTTCTTTGACGTCACGGACAAACTGGTTTTTCGAAGTTAGTCGCGGTCAGGACACTGTTCCGATAAGTCGACTCATTTATTCCTCGTCAGTTAACCCATAATACAGACAAAGATATCTTAATAGCAAATTATGCTTAGTCCCTTTTCGCTCGTCGTGCGTAATCCCATCAAGTCGATGCAACTTTCAGCAATTAATTCCTCGACCAGAAGCCAACATTTTGTTTGCACTTTTTCTTCTGTTTTCTATCAGGAAAACTTCGAGCTTACCGCACGTTCTTCACATCACCTTTTCGACGACTATTTCCTCGACCTAAGGCTAACATCTTATTTGAACTTTCTTCTGTTTTCTATCAGGAAAACATATCACTTACAACACAGCCATCACAACACCTTTTTCGATGACTAATTTCTCGTCGAGTGGCGAACATCTTGTTCGAGCCTTGCCTTCGTCCATGACCAGGGAACTTTGAATCTTTCAACAGTTAAGGATGAGAACTTCTCATATTCGTTGAACTCTAAACATTATGAACCAGTACCTTAAAAATATAACATTACACTCACACTAACAAAACTCGTAGTGAGTATTTTCTTTGTTGTGTATGTATAATATTCCGTATAAATTGACTGTTCTGGAACTTTCTTCCTGAAGAACTTTTCCCGCCTTAGCCATTTTGGTTTTCTGTTTTGGCGCGGAACACTGACATTCCTTCAGTGACTCCTTGTCACAACCTTTTCATTAATTGCAAAAATCCAGTAACTTTACTGATGGTCTCCACGGTCGAGACTAGATTATTTGTTATTAAAATAAAATTTCTTATTTTTTTCCACCAGACTCATTTTGTCGTTTAATCCTGGCTATCTACTTGTATTATTTTTATGCACTTGTTGAATGACCTCTTTTCCTCACTAAGATCACTCATTCAATATTTTTACTTTGTGGATTCGGTAGTCATAAGTAGTGTCTGGCACAAGGCCACCTTTTAATAAACCAGCACTGCATGCTACCGGGTCTGCAACAACATTAATAAAATATTGTATTAACAATGATATACAAATATCAACAATAAGTATAAAAAAAGTTGCTTCCCTTTTTCTGTAATAAAAAGGGTGAATGCAGCTAATTAATGTTGAGTACAATATTGAATGTTATTTAACTATAAAGTTCAATTAATGTTCTTAGCTAAATGAAGAATAATTCCACAGTCTGCTTGTGAGTGTGGAAAGATGTAATGTACACAAGTGATATCAAAAGAAGTTAGTAAGAGTACTCGAATGAGTAATAACTAAGAATTAAAATGTTATAAGTAATATAGCGCCGTGCCGTATTTTCAGAGAATTGAACTGCTATTGCCGTTGGCTAACAGCGAGAGAGTTTATATAAGTATGCATAGGGTCAAGTGAGCTTGGCGCCAAAAAAATATAGAAAGATACTAAAATACGCGATTGGTCAGGAAATGGACCAATCCGTGATTTTAGAGAAAAATTCAAATAATGTGCGATGGCAAAATTGTCATATAGTAAGTATCATATATTTATGAACCAATGACATTAAAGAAAGCGGAGGTGTGGCACATGTAAGTGATCACCATCAGACTTATTTTTGGAACATCGGGGTTACCAATTGTAAAGTTGTCCGATTGTAGATAGACCAATACTATTTATAACGATATTCCCAACAAACAGGATTCAAGTAAACAACAATAACTCCAAATTGTTAATCAACAAATATATTCAAAACGTTGCAGACTGGCGAATGTATTTTGAGTGATCAGAAGGATTTTTAGTGTTGGTGTTCTAAAAACATTCGTCCACAACAATTAAAGAAAAATACTAGAAACAAATCATGACGTATTGTTTCAAAACGTAACAAATGAATTTATTAAGTATTTCATATACATGCATGTGAACTGAAAGGTTTTGACAGAGTTATGTCTCTTAGACTTGGAAATATTTGTACTTGAGCTCATAAAGAAGAAGTAATTATTAAACTGTAATTTAGAATAATAAAGTTCCTTGCAAGGAAATTTGTCCCGGCTTTCCCGCAATAAAGGGTTGAGTTTAAAAATAGGATTGAAGTTTTAAAATTTGCGAAAAAACGCAAGTAAAACATCAAGATTAGAGCGAACAAACTTTCTCTTTTAGGCGTGTACGAATAAAGAAAAAACAACAAAAGAAGAAAGTGTTTATTTACAACATATAGAGAAAAAAAAAGGTAAAGGGATAAAAGGACGATTAGTAGAGAAAGAAAGAGAAAAGAGAAAATGTTCTTAACTTAAAAAGGCTTGCTCAAAATATTTCTCTGAGCGCCTAAAGAGTTCTTTAAGCGATTAGATGTTATTGTTAAAGTCCTGATAGATACACTCACAGTTCTTGTAGAGTTGGAAATTTGTTCGCAGATGAAGGAATCCTGCAGCTGAGTGAGTTTTTTTTTTTTTGTGGGCTCGTCAGAAGGAGTGGTGAAGGGATGCAGCTTTTTGGATTGGTTTTGAATAGTGGACCGACGTTCGTTTTTGACAGCCCTTTTTAGTAGTTCTTCTTTCGAGAAAGAGGTGCTGGAGCTTCCTAATGTCGACCTCATAGACGGTGGGCAGAAATCTCACTGTCGAAATAGGCAAGATTCTCCAAATTTATGGAGTTTTGGTAGGCTCCGATGGATCGGGGACTTTTCCCTCCAAAATCGTTGTACAAATTTCCTGGCCTCTCTATTGGTCAGAAAACACATTCTTATGTCTGATAAGAATCAGGGCCCTGGGAGCCAGTTTCGAAGGTATTGAAAACAGGTTGAAGTGAAGAAGCTGTGAGGTTTCTCCCAGACTTTATGGCACCATGGAAAGAATAATGGTGGTGGAATTCCTTTTTATTTTCCAGCTATCTCCTTAGTCAGAAAATATATTCTTATCTCTGATAAGAATGAAGGCCTTGGGAGCCGGTTTTGAAATTAAAAAGAGGTTGGAATGAAGATAGAAAAAATAGCGAGAATGTGAACTTGTGAAATTGTTGTTCTCAAATTAAATTCCAACAACCTTTAGCATGTTAGGAATTGTCTGTTGGACCAAAAAAGAGTTGAGAATTGTACTTCGTGAATGTTGTAAAGTTCTTTAACGTCTGACCGCACTGGTCAACATGGGAGTTCTTGAAGGTCACATTTTGGCAGCAAGAGATGGGACACCAGAGCGAGTAAGAAGAAGAAGAAGTTTATTTATTGTGCAAAATACACAATTATGGCACAAGACCAAAATGGGGTGGGGTTGAGGCTGGTAATCACTAACTATCTTATACCTAGCTAATCCTATTCACGACCAATTCATTCATTACAATTTCCACATTCACCAAAAGAACTCGTCCGTCACCAATCAATCCTCCATACACCACAAGACCTCATTTTTACTAGGGAGACCTACAAAACGCGCCCCGTGACATAAAAATTTACTGATGCTAAAATATATAAAAATTCTATGATGAAAAAATGAGAGGCGGGGGGAAGATGAACCCAATAACAAACTAAAATATAAACATAAATCAAATTAAACATAACTGATGTTAGTAGTGCCCGTCCAACGCTCAAAACAGAGAGGCCGCTGTA